GCTTCATTGAGATCATGGAAAAACACATTCATTGATGAATTATCAAAGAAAGCATGATGAAAACTGAAAATAAGAACATCTTTGTCAGACAGAAAACCATTTAAAGAAGCTTGTTTGTAGTAAAGAATATGATATCGAAAGACGCGGCCTTGAACAAGATCGAAATGCTGAGGATTGTGTCTTTCATCATTGATAATCTTATTTAGTTGCTCATCGGTCTGAAAAGTACTTTCGAAATAGAAGAATAATTTATTATTGTTACTGTTAAAATCAATAATTTGTTGAATAAATTGATTTTGTTCTGTATGAAAGATGAGTGAAGTGTGAAGTGTTGAATGTTTGATAAGAATTTGTTGAACAGCTTGATGAAGTCGGTCAATTGATAAACTATGTTGATGTTGAAGTCGATAAATGTAAGGTTTATTATGAATTGATATAAATTGTTGATCATAATGAGAATGAATTCGTTCATCAAGACAAATTCGAGATTGAGCATATGATGCTGGTGCTACATAAACCGACATGAATGTCATTGATTAATTGATTGTCATTAAATTGAAAAAGATTAGGAATGTCAGAGAGTGATGCATATTATCGTCCTCTTATCTGTCATATGCATGTATTTTCTCCTTCTCGTTCTGCACGTATATACATATATCTCGTTTTTGTTCTTTTTTGTTCTTTTCATTGGTTAGCTTCTTTTCTTCGTTTTTTTCCGTTCTTTTAGACATTAGCTGTTGCCTCATGCACTGCTTTGTTCTTGCTTTCCGTTCACTGTTATCATCTTTCCTTGATTCTTGTTTCATCATCCCTGCTAGTTGCATCAACTTCTCTATGTCCATCTATATGTTCACTTCCACTCGCCTGTGTTTGTCACAGTATACATTATTCAAAATGTTTCTGAAAAACTTATCCATGAATGATGGAGCATAGAATCAATCTCATTCGAGAAAAAAAAAATAAGTATGGCAGAATGGATCACTAGACAAAATATAGTGAGATGGTGGATAGATGAGACCTAATGCTTCTCCCATGCGACAGTAAACAGACCTTGAGAATAGGTATACACAAAAAAATGGAAGTCCGAAAAGGTGGCCACCTTAAAATCGAAGCAGATGCTATACCTCAACATTACTTTGTAGTGAGGTGGAAATCCAAGGATACAGAATAGAATGGGCATGCGGGGAGATCGAGACCATAGAGTACACTACTAAATCAGGGTTCACGACATGCAGATCAAAGACAATAACGCAAAGTGAATGTATCAGCATCACAACACACAGGGACGTGAAGGTGCATTGGTATCGAGATCGAAGAGCATCGCGCTCATTGACGGTGTTACGACGTTCATAACAAACGGAATATGTTCAAATGAGGGTGTCGCGAAATCAAGAACAAAGTGCACACTATCAGCTTACGAACGCATGAAAATGAACTTAATCTATCCGTATAGCTTAAGGCGGGCACAGTCACTATCCTGCGAATCATATATCAAAACAACTCAATACACTGTTAAACGTTTTGTTTTGGAATGTAGGTAATCAGTATAACAAGTAACGCAACGCAGACGTCGCTAAGTCCTCTACTCAAAGGATGTGATCAGATCTGTCACCATGCTTAAAATAAGATAAATATTTGTTTTAGTTCATTAATCGAGTTACTTGATCACTTCTCAAAACGTCTTTTACTGTGAATCACTTTACCTACTTTAAACTCTCAAACTAACGCCTAGTCGTTAACATGTATTGTCTATTTTTTCATCACACAGATAAGCATTTTTACACATACGAAAACTAAGTCATTCATAATAGATGGGTTCGTAATCAAAGACTTCTAGAAATTTCATAACAGTGTGTGGTTTTCAACACAGATTTCAATCTTTCCTTCATTTTCAATGAAACGATAACTTAGTCTATTCGCTCACGAAGGGGTATCAGTTAGATTCCTAAGAAAAATCGTTCGAGCTACTTGAGAATTTTGAAGTCTATACATTGTATTAATTTTTCGAATTGACGTCTAGGCATTCGTCGACCTCCTTTCAGTCGGCCACACACAACTAGCCGTAACTATTGACACCTTCACTACATCCTTCGCTTTCGGTAATACGATTCCTAAAAAGAGACTAAAACGAGGAAGTACTGTTTTATAAATCGCTACGAATAGAGCATATTCGTCTAGCATAGCCCTTCACATATTTGGTATGTTGGTTATATATCTAATGTTGATGAAGATTCAACACTAGGGTCGCAACCAGTTACCTCGCTTTTATTTACATATTTCTACTAAAATTCTATTGAAAGATATGACGTATGGTAGTGAACAACGGAAAAATCTTTAATTAAAACTGATACTGGATTAATAACTTTTCTTTCGATTACTTCAACTAGGGTTTCTATAATGTAACCACTACTAAATCTTATAAATTTTCAAAAGACCAACATCGGATTCATGTTTCACCATCCTGATTACTTTTTATCAAACTTTATAAAAAAAACATTTTTTTCGTAAAAGAGTGGTCCTTTGTGTAAAAACATTTTAAAAACTAACACCGGATTTGAGTTCTTCGATTCCGATTACCGTTTGGTCAGCCCTTATAGCAGAAGAGCATAAGAAGTTTTAATTAACCAATCAGAGTGAACAAACGAACACACATCAACTCGTTTTTTCTGTGATATCTGCTCGATGCATAACCCTCCTTTCAGTAGAGGGAATGACATTATGAAATCACCCTCATTATCATTCTCTCAGATGTGGATATAATTTTCAAAAAGAACTTTAAAAAATTCATACCTGTATAACCAATATTTGGTAGTCGATGGAAGATAGTTCGTGGGATTTCTTCAATATCTTCCAACAATAAGAGAGACAGTTTAGATATTGGGTTACGGCTTTGATTGAATTGATTTTTGTCAACACTTGCAGAAAAAATTTGTGAGAGAAAATGTTGGAAACGTCGACCTATCAGTGAAATCATTGCATCATCAAAAACGTCGGTCGAATATTCAAAAATAAAATGAGTTGTTTGGTTATGGTAATCATGAGTCATAGTTAGAGATAGATCATTCAAAGCAGTACCATTGCTATGAGACCAGTCTCGACCAGTATATGATTGCAGTATTGCATCTTTCGTTTTTAAGACTTGTGTCGATCCATATGTTAATGATGACATAACCGATTGGTATTGGAAGTGAAAAGGTATTTTGGGTGATGTAGAATTATTCATGTGACCAATAATTTCCTGGTAAGGTAATTCAGCATGCTGAAGTACATCAATGCATAGCTGCCTAATTCGTAGCATTAAACTAATAAATGATTCGACAGGATTAATTTTGATGCGATAAGGCAGAAGATTAACAAACATGCCGATCATTTTTTTTGTTTCTGGTAATTGACGATTGTCTGTTGCACTAGTTATACAAAAATCATCTGTATAGCTATTGCACAGTTTGTAGAGAAATGCAAAGAAACATGTTAAACCCAACTGGAACATTGAAACATTGTTTGCCATAGCACATTGTAGCTGAGCTTGAACTATATCAGAATCTAGATCAAATGAAATCGCATGACCCCGACCAGAACGCATTTTTGTTTTGCTTGTGGCGCCTACAAGTAATAAGTAATTATTATGCCAATCGTATCTGTCCATCAATATAGACCAAAATCGGCGTGCTTCGTTTACTTTAGAATTTTGAGCTGGATCAACCAGCAAAGTCTGCTCGTAGATAGCATAATCAATATATTGTAATGTAGAACCAAGTGGTTCAGCCACATGATATGTTCGTGCAAAGGTATTAATAAATATATCAGCAGCGCTGATGTCAAATGCGATATGATGAATTACGAATATAATGATATCGTTTCTATGTAGCTTTTCTTCTTCTTCCACCGCATTATTAATGTCCATCTTAATCAGATGGCATCGAACAACCACACCATGTTCAACTTGAGCAAAATGAGTGGTAAATTCTTTTACAAGTAGTGCCTCGATTTCTTCAGTGGATTTTGCACCGCGAGTAACTTCAAACGAATAATTGTGGTCTTCAAGAATTGGTTGCACTGCTTGCTCGAGTCGCCCACTCTCTTGATTAAAGTAAACGGCCGTTCGAAGGATGTTATGTCGTTCCAGTGTGTCGACAATAGCTGATCGAATGCTAGCAATCGGCATGGAACCTTGTTTGATTACCACTGGCATAATAATATTATAAAGGGCTGGTGAACTCGAAGGATTAAAAGATATTTGCTCGTCTAACCAAATCCTCTGTTGAGCAGACGAAGCAACGGCTTTTAAACTTCCTGTTAGGGTCAAAGTAGATGACAATGACTGGTCTGATTGTCGTTTGTCCACCTTATTGGGAAAGAGTCTTCGTGTCGCTGACAACATTATTGGGTTAAATTTGAGTATTGTAATCAAGAATTAAATTGAATGCTAATGTAACAATCTATTAATCTAAAATAAAACCACTAGAATATTAATTCAATTTCTTCTTCTGACTGATCGACAAAAGTGCGTAAATGAACTTTAAAGTTGTGATACTTATTCTTTCATTTGCTCTTACGAGGGAGCCGTTCCAACTGATCCATCCCGATTTTGCTTATATTTTATCTATATGTAAGAGCAACCAAGTAAACGATCATATCACTAAAACTCACATAACTAACGAGGAAATACACAGAGCTAACCAATGGCATTTGAGTCGAGACTATGTGCATTATGCAGTTCCTAATAAGTTATGGATATTCTGAAAAGAATTTCGGTCCATAACTTATTGATACCGAGATACTGCATTTTTACGATGTATTTAAACAGAATGCCGTGCTTCCCTCGAAAACACTATAAAACTTAACTTTCGAATTTCGACTTCAAACTTTACACAGAAATAACTCTTAACACGTATTATTTATTCTAAAAGTT